ATCCACCGGTCTTCCCCAGAGCTCCTAATGGTGGAGATGGATTTGGCTGCGTGTGAATGCCAGGTCGCAGATCTCAGGATCACCCCACCAGGGAATGAGTAGGCTGGAAACCAAAAGAGGATCAAACAGTTCAGGGATCAAACAGAAGCAGAGTCAGTCACAAGCCAAGGGTCGGTCACCAATGGTAGTAGCTAGGATGAGGCAGAATCATAGTCAGTAGCAAGCCAAAGGTCGGTAACGTAGATGAAGACAGCAGCAGGAACAGTAAGTGGGATATTGGCTGGTAAGGTACAATAATCTGGCAAGGAGGAAGTGCATGGACATGGCTTTTATAAGGAAGTTCATGGGAGGAGCAAGGAGTTCAAGGTTCAAGAGAAATCAAGGCACAAGGCAGGATTATCCAAGAATTGTCAAGGGAGCTGTCCAGCATTCCAGATAGCTCAGATAGAAGAGACATTGCCTCCCACTGCAGAAGGACCAGGTTTGATCCCAGGCTCTGACACTTAGGGGGGCCAGTGAGTCCTGAGTTTTCCTCCTTTCCAGCTCCATGCTCGCAGGCAGGTCCCATCCCACTAGGCCTCCTGGCAATCTTCTTCATTCAGCTTCACATTTTCCTGCTTCTCACTCCTCTCCCACCACCACACTCCTGGTACTTAGAAGGCTCCAACACTTTTTAACGGAGTCCAGTCCCCTGCCAAGCCTCCTGTTGGGGATGGGCTGAGGTTCCTCAAAAGTGAAACCAACCACTCCTCAGATCCACCCACTGCATCCAAGGCCCTCCTCCGAAAGCCTCAGAGCAGGGGGACATTATAAGCTATAAATATCCAAGCTATGAATAAAGTCTATTTTTAGACTGAAACACGTTCGCATAAGTTTGCCATGGAATATTTTTTACTCCTTAATGCAATAAAGAAGATTGTTGTATTCACCTGTTGCTGGCATTTTGGAAGTTGAAATTTCAGAGGGGCTGGCCTGCAGAGTCTCTCAGTCCTGACCAGATTTTAACCCCTCTGACTATGTCACCTGAGCTGCTATTCAGCTCCTCACTAGCCAATAGGGTCTAGCTCCCCCTAGCTAACCTAGGAGGGTGCTACACTTAGATATGATGTCAAGGAAACTTGTCCGGAGGAAGTATGGAAGCTGTCACTGCACACTGCTGACTCTGAAAATGCTAGTTGCCTGGCTTTTTTAGTATTTTTTTAGAAAAAAAAATTTTTTTTTGCTGAAAAAACGGCAGTTTGTCACATTTTGCTGCGTTTCACCGCTTTTTTCAGCATTAGAGCCCTATAGCTAAAAAACTCTTCTAGAAACCCACTAGTCCTAGGGTTTTTTTCCAGCCAAAAAACGTCCCCCAGCCAAAAAACGCTGATTACAGTCTATGTGTGCATGGACACATAGGATAACAAGCTGGGGGGTTTACTGGCTGTAGAAAAAAACGCCAAAAGCCACAAACAGCCGCTGTAAAAACGTCTCATGCGCATGAGGACTGATGATTGAACTGGATGGACTTTTGTCTTTTTTTCAGACATATTAACTATGTAACTATGTGCTCTGGACTGAGACAAGCACACACTCTAGAGGGATGTGCTTTGTTCGAATCTGATGTCTGAGGTTTACAACCACTTTAACTACCCGGTGAACTGTTAACCACAAATGAAAAAAGAATTGAAAACGGCGGGAAATAACCAATATTTTTTTCTGGTCTTGATTCCAGCTCTTTTTTTGACACAATAATAACAATTGTGTGCACATACCTGTCTCCGCTAAGCATGATCCTTTTTCTTTATTACCTGCAAGTTATTAGAGAAGCATTTATTGTGCGGCTCATGAAAGCTTCTGAAATGGGTTGATTTGTTGCTGTGCGGACCGATAATCATTTATACAAAGCGCAGTTTGCTTGCACCGTGGCTCCTTTCACATCATTGTCAGAGCTGAAGAACATGACCTCTGCAGAGAGATAATTGGTGCAATAGAGTGATATGATGCTCCCATTTCATTCCATTCTGTTTGCCCAGTGGTGTCTGCAGGAGATTACACCGAATACCACAAGCAGGAGACTTCACATCTGTTCTATTGTTTCCTTTTTTTTTCTGCTAGCATTTATAGAAGTTTGAAGGGACGTCACTATTTGTTTTTGTGTGGCATGCAAGGCCATGGATAAGGGGTGCCACCAGTCCTCCTGTATGGGGCCCAGGCCAGCAGGGGGACCCAGGCAGCTCGGTGAATTGGATGTGGGCAGGGAGGGCGAACGGTATGGTGGGAGGGGGTAATTACTGGAACCGATCCCCTGTATGACTCTCCCTGCAGGAGCTGAAAAGTTAGCTTCTTCTCCTCTCCCTCCTGATGGCTTTCAGCTGCTGCAGAGAGAGCCATACAGAGGATAGGTTCCAGTTATTGCCCCTGCCGCACCCATCACCCTCCCTGTGCACTATATGTTTCCCCCTATGCCTGTGCCCCCGTGTCCTCCCACCCTCACAGTGCTGCTAGCTTCCCTCCTCTCTTTTCAGCATCTGCAGAGAGAGCCATATATGGGATAGGTTCCAGTAATTCCCCCCTGCCGCACCTACACCCTCCCTGTGCACTCTATGTTTCCCCTACTGCCTGTGCCCCCATGTGCTCCCACCCTCACAGTGCTGCCAGCTACCCTCCTCTCCTTTCAGCATCTGCAGAGAGAGCCATACAGGGGATTGGTTCCAGTAATTGCCCCTGCTGCAACCATCACCCACCCTGTGTACTATATGTTTCCCCTTACTGTCTGGGCCCCCGTGTGCTCCCACCCCCACAGTGCTGCCAGCTTCCCTCCTCTCCTTTCAGCATCTGCAGAGAGAGCCATACAGGGGATAGGTTCCAGTAATTGCCCTCAGCTGCATTCATCACCCTCCCTGTGCACTATACGTTTCCCCCTGCTGCCCGGGCCCCCTGTGTGCTCCCACCCCCACAGTGCTGCTGCCTTCCCTTCTCTCCTTTCAGCTGCTGCAGAGAGAGCCATATAGGGGATAGGTTCCAGTAATTGCCCTCAGCGCATTCATCGCCCTCCCTGTGCACTATACATTTCCCCCTGCTGCCCGGCCCCCCCCGTGTGCTCCCACCCCACAGTGCTGCCAGTTTCCCTCCTCTCCTTTCAGCAGCTGCAGAGAGAGCCATACAGGGGATTGGTTCCAGTAATTGCCTCCTGCTGCACCCATCACCCTCCCTGTGCACTATACATTTCCTCCTGCTGCCCGGGCCCCCCCCCCTGTGTGCTCCCACCCTCACAGTACTGCCAGCTTCCTTCCTCTCCTTTCAGCAGCTGCAAGCACACAATAAGATCTTTTAGGCTCCATGTACACGAGTTTTTGGCATTTTTTTTGCCAAACCTAAACTCAACTCCATAAAAGCCTATGTGTGAATGTAGACATTGGCTTTTAGCAGAGTTTAGGAGCTGCCACATTTAGTTGAGGTTAAACCTCCTGAACTGAACATGGAAGAATCGCGTACTGGATACGTTTTGACCGGCGACCGTGGGAAACCTCAAAACAGCAGCAAAACCACGGCAAAATCGTGGTTGCCGCATTTTGCGTTTTACCGCGACCGGCGGTCAGGGTAGGCTCGCGTACATGGAGCCTAAGGATGGAGAGTGGTGGAAAGGTCCGGTAAACACGTCACATTTACCAGCCCTTTCCTTTGCCGAATGAACACAATAAGTAATCGGTGCCAATCACTCACTGTGTACATTTGCAACTGACAACTGATGCATAGTAAGTCTAGGTTCACACCTATGCAGGTTGCATTTGTTGCGTTTTGCATTGTGTCTTTGCCACGTTTTTGTTGTGTTTTTGATGCGTTTCACAGCTTTTTACATTTTTTTTTTTTAATTTTTCTTGTTGCTAGGCAGATTTTAAACGTAAAACGCATCACAACCACAACAAAAACGTGGCAAAAAAAGCAAACAAAATGCAGCAAAAATGCAATACATGCTTTTCTTCAGCGTTCCCTTTGAAGTCTATAAAACCAAAAACACTTTGCATTCAAAAAATTTCCTGACCCAAACGCAGAAATGTGAACCTGTCCCATAGGAAATCATGTAAAATGGACTGTACTGCATTTCTGCAAAAGGCTGCAGAAAATACTAAGGTCAGAGCAGGGATCAGCAGTGCCATCATCCAGGCACTGATGATCTGTGCCCAGCAGTGCACCCACCTGTGCCCAGCAGTCCCACACACCTGTGCCCAGAAGTGCCACCTACCTGTACCCAGAAGTGCCACCCACCGGTGCCCACCAGTGCCCATCAGTGCAGCCCATCAGTGCTGCCAGTCAGTGCCACCAGTTAGTGCTCAGCAGTTGCGCCAGTCAATGCCTAACAGTGCCGCCAGTCAGTGCCACCTATCAGTGCTACCTATCAGTGCTGTCTATCAGTGCCACCTCATTAGTGCTGTGTATCAGTGCCGCCTATCTGTGCCACCTCATTAGTGTTGCCGCCTATCAGTGCCCTTCAGTGCTGCCTATCAGTGTCCATCAGTGCTGCCTATCAGTGCCCATCAGTGCCGCCTATCAGTGCCCATCAAGTGCTGCCTCATCAATGCACATCAGTGAAGGAGAAAAATTGCCTGTTTGAAAAATTTTAGAATAGAAACAAAAACTTTTTTTTTTCAAATTTTTTTGCACTTTTTTTTGTTTATAGCGCAAAAAGTAAAGTGCCCAGCGGCGATTAAATACCACCAAAAGAAAGCTCTATTTGTGAGAAAGAAATTATACAAATTTCATATGGGTCAATCTTGCATGACAATTACAATTGTCAATCAAAGTGCGACAGTGCTGAAAGCTGAAAATTGGCCTGGTAAAGAAGGGGGCATAAGTGCCGGTAGGCAAGTGGTTAATAAAGGAACAAAAATGAATACTTAATTCTGCCAGCACCAGGGGCGGACTGACAACTCATGGGGCCCCCGGGCAATAGGGGATCATGGGGCCCCTGTGTCCTTGCCCAAACTCAAAAAAGCCTATGAAAAAGGTACCAGGGGCATCTCATGGGGCCCCCTACTGACCCCAGGCCCTCGGGCAGTGCCCGAGTTTCCAAATGGTCAGTCCGCCCCTGGCCAGCACTATAATCAAAATAATATTCCATCGTGTAATTAGACATGTGCAAGACGAAAGTTTTTGTTTCCTTTTAGATGCATTCGTTCATTGAAGAATTTTGTTGTGTTATGTTGAACCGATTCGGTTTCGAGATTCGTTTCGTATCTTCAGCATTCATTTTGTATATTTGTTGGTCCGGGTGAATTTAAAAAATATTTTGCAGTTTTTTTCAGAACATTGCTATAGATCTTGGGTGGATTTGACATTCATAGATCGAAACTATTTGGAAAGATTCAATATTTTTGGTCACAACAGAACAAATAATGTGAAATTCAGCAGCCCCAACTTTTTCAAACCTAACAATTGCACTAGACTGTGGAACTGACTGATTGTGACAATTACAAATTCAGTTTAAATCCCAATTTACTTGAATCCGAATTATTGAACAAATTCAAAAATTTTATTAATTTCTCCATGGGCCCCAACTATTATCGCATCATGTGACATTATCCAAATGAAACAAATGCGGTAAAATTTTGGTAATTTTTTTTTTGGATTTGTAGACATTCGTATGTCCATTTGGAGATTTGTATACATCCGCATCTCCAAGAATCCAAGTTTCGTCTTAAAAAATTGATTTGTATGGTCCTCTGTGAGATCTTGAACACACACTTTGTTTGTCACTTGTACTTGTATGGTCCTCTGTGAGATCTTGAACTTTTCCTTCCCCACGTCACTTTGTTTGAAACAAGCAGCTCACATTAGTTTGTAATGAAACACACATGTGTACTGTTATGATCCGCCAGGTGGTGCCTCTGGCTGCCCACTTGACAGACCTACCCAAAGCGTGGAGTCTAAGTCCCGGTCTGTGCTTTCACCAGGGCCCCTGATAGTGGGGATGGACTTGTAACAGACCAGGACCAGGTCACGACCTCTGAGCAGGCCAACCAGCGGCAGAGGGAACCTCCGGGGATGTATAGGTACCGGGAGAGCTAGATGTGAGGAGGCCGTCAGGACCTAGCAGGATGGATCACGAGCAGTGGTCCCGTGGGGTAGGCGAGGTACAGAATCGGCAGGCGGAGAGTCGTCAGGTCACACGCAGGGTCAGCAGGATAAGTCAGTCCGCAGATAGGTCAAACAAGCCGGGAGTCAGGAGGGGAGAAGGCAGAGTAGTCAGGACAATCCGGGTCAAACACAGGAGAAGGCAGCGTAGTCAGGACAATCCGGGTCAAACACAGGAGAAGGCAGCGTAGTCAGGGCAATCAGGGTCAATAACTCAGGTACAGGAACTCAGGAACACAGATAGACCTTGCGGCGATTAGTGACAGTGCAGGGCATCTTTAAATATTGCGCCATGCACTGTCATTGGCCGTCCAGGACGCGCCCCCGGGCTGTCATTGGCCGCCCGAGGCGTGCCCGCGGCTCCTACTGCGCATGCGTGGCGTCCTGTCATCTGCGGCTCCCCGGGACCTGGTGCTTGTGTCCCGGCGTGAGCCGACGCCAGTGCGCGTGCGCCGGCCGACAGGACGCCGCGATCCCTGACATGTACTTTTATGGTCCTCTGTGAGATCTTGAACTTTTCCATCCCCACGTCACTTTGTTTGGAACAAGCAGCTCACATTAGTTTGTAATGAAACACAAATGTGTTCTTGTACGGTCCTCTGTGAGATCTTGAATTTTTCCTTCCCCACGTCACTTTGTTTGGAACAAGCAGCTCACATTAGTTTGTAATGAAAACACAATGTGTACTTTTATGGTCCTCTGTGAGATCTTGAACTTTTCCTTCCCCACGTCACTTTGTTTGGAACAAGCAGCTCACATTAGTTGAGGTCAAGTACACTGCTCTATGCACCCTACACATCCCGTAGTCCATCTCAAGCATGAGCAAGAGAGGGTGGCTACATTCCTACATGCAGTGGGCCCATGGAGAATGAACGTAGCCAGAAAGTCAGATCATAGCAGTAAAAAAAAGATACTTGAAGGGGGCTGGGAGCAATAAAAGGGACTTTTTATTGTTAAAAATACATGAGTAGATTTTTTCAAACCAGTGAATGTGCAACACCTGTGTTTAGTGTCACTTTCAATCCCTCCCATACCAAACACCCTGTCCCTAAAAAATCCCCCCCCAAAGTGTAACCCCAAATACTAAAACTAAATTAACTTCTAAGCTAAGCGCTAATGCTAATTAGGCCCTACCCTGCATACGCACCACATCCTGTGCCAGGAGATTTTAAAATATCCATTCTCAGCCAGGGTTCCATAGAACCCTAGGGTTCCTCCAGAGGCTGAAGGGGGTTCATGGAGCTGTGGCTGATTGATGGTGCCTGCATAGTTTTGGGTTCAACACCACTTGGCAGAGCCAACAGCATGACACCAGTGATCTTTTTCGCTGTCTGTAAGGTGGTATTCAGACCACCATTGAAAGGGCTGAATTCTTGCTACTGACCACCAATGTAATGGACATTTTGTCATTGCCACCTCCAATGAACTGGTTTTTAGTAAGAGCTCCCCAAGACAGAAAATATTTTAAGGGTTCCTCTAGGCAACCTGTCATTTGCAAGTTACCTTTCAACTGCCAACAGGTGGCACGTAGATTTGGAAGATGTTCCACTGTTGCTGACCCAGCCCCTGCCCCGAGCTTCAGAGTGGTGCATACGCATGCTCAACCAACCCAAGGATGCAGAGCCAGTCTTCTCCCCTTTCATACGTGCAACTGTGGGGCAGAGAAAGCCTCTGGAATAACCTGGGCAGGTTTGGGCTCTTCTCCAAACATGCCAGAGCTCTTTTTCTGTTGTGCGCTCATCACCACTGGCCCGCCTTCCCGATCAAAGGAACTTAAGGGTGACACCATGTGGGAAGGTGAGAGAGGATTGCAGGGATCAGTGCCACTGCACTTTCCCTGCACCACTCTACATTAAAAAAAACTCCTGTGCCCTCCTAAAACTTCAGCTCTCCTGATGCTCCTGCACCATGCCCTCTTATTCACTACAGCAATCCTGATGCCCCAGCACCATCCCCCCTAACACTCCAGCCCTCCTGATGCCCCAGCACCATGCACCCCCACTCCACCTCCTGATGCCCAGCACCATGCACCCCTAACACTCCAACCTCCTGAGGTCCCAGCACCATGTACCCCTAACATTCCAGCCATCCTGATGCCCCAGCACCATGCACCCCTAACACTCCAGCCTTCTCATGCCCTAACACCATGCTCCCCTAAAACTCCAGCCTCCTGTTGCCCTAGCACCATGCCCCCCAACACTGCATCCTCCTGATGCCCCAGCACAATGCCCTCCTGACACCACAGTACCAATCCCTTCTGACCCCAAAATCATACCCTCCTGCCCACCCACCACACTATGTCCTCATGACCCCCCAGTACTATGCTCTCCTCACACCCCAGTCCTCCTGATTCCCCCAATACCATACCCTCCTGTCCCTCCAGTTCCATACTCTCTTGACACCCCAACCCTACTGATCCCCCTGTGCTGTGTCCTCCTATATTCCCAGTACTGTGCTCTCCTGACCTCCATCCCTGCACCGTGCCCTACTGATCCCCCCCAGTAACTTGCCCCCCTGACCCCTTTAAACCTTGCCTTCCTGACCTTCCTGTTGCAATGCCCTTCTGACTCCTGCCATACATACTACTGACTTCTGTACACTGCCCTATATATTACTGACCTCTGTACACTGACCTACATCCTCCTGACCCCTGTACGCTGTCCTACATCCTACTACCTCTGCACACTGCTCTACATCCTACTGACTAATGATGGGTCAAACACCCCCCTGTTCGGTTCCTACTGAAAGTTCAACCACAAACTTCAAACAGGTACCTATGGTCAGGTGTATTGCTTTGGCAAATCACAATGCAATGTCACGCCCTTACCATTCGTGTGTTCGCCAAACACACAAATGGCCCATGTTCGAGTCGAACATATGTTTGACACAAACATGAGCCTAACACTACTACTGACCTCTGTACACTGCTCTATATACTGCTAACCCCTGTACAATGCTCTACATCCTACTGACCTCTGTACACTTCCCTACATACTACTGACCTCTGTGCACTGTCGTTACAAACTACTGACCTCTGTACACTGCCCTGCATACTACTGACCTCTGTACACTGCCCTGCATACTACTGACCTCTGTACACTGCCCTGCATACTATTGACCTCTGTACACTGCCCTGCTACATATTGACCTCTGTACACTGCCGCTACATATTACTGACCTCTGTACACTGTACATATTACTGACTCTGTACACTGCCGCTACATATTACTGACCTCTGTACACTGCCGCTACATACTACTGACCTCTGTACACTGCGCTACATACTGCTAGCCCCTGTACAATGCTCTACATCCTACTGACCTCTGTATACTTCTATACATATTACTGACCTCTGTACACTGCCCTGCATACTACTGACCTCTGTACACTGCCGCTACATATTACTGACCTCTGTACACTGCTGCTACATATTGCTAGCCCCTGTACAATGCTCTACATCCTACTGACCTCTGTATACTTCTCTACATATTATTGACCTTTGTACACTGCCGTTACATACTACTGACCTTTGTACACTTCCCTACATACTACTGACCTCTGTACACTGCTGTTACATACTACTGACCTCTGTACACTTCCCTACATACTACTGACCTCTGTACACTGCCATTACATACTACTGACCTCTGTATACTTCTCTACATATTACTGACCTCTGCACACTACTCTACATACTACTGACCTCTGTACACTGCCCCACATACTACTGACTACTGTACACTGCCGTTACATACTACTGACCTCTGTACACTGCCCTACATACTAATGACCTTTGTACACTGCTCTACATGATGCCAACCCCTGTACAATGCTCTACATCCTACTGACCTCTGTATACTTCTCTACATACTACTGACCTCTGTACACTGCCGTTACATACTACTGACCTCTGTACACTGACACTACATACTACTAACCTCTGTACACTGCCGCTACATACTACTG